ATGTACATTAACATATATGAACTGACTACAAAGTTAAACGAGGGACTAACTCTACCACTATATCCAATCCCTTGGCGTATAGCTCATTAACCTAGGCATCAACTCCCTGATCCCTCGGGCCATTTGTCTCGTTAGATCAGGAAAAAAATCTCGTTAATCTCTTAGTCGCAATTCCTAATCATACTATATCTAGTCAACTAGATAATCCAACAGTTAAAGTAGTTCAGATAATATCCCTAGGGTCAGTAGTTACTATTATCAATCTCAATTCAAAATTCATAATAATTGAAATGCTTTGAACATAAACATTAATTGAATAATAACAATTGAAATTATGGTATATCAGACTTCAGATGTCCTATGTCATATCGAGACATCTGAATCTGAATAAGACACACATGCAAGGTATAGAACATGAAAAATAGTACTGAAAAGCATAAACAACATACAAAATTGTTAACCCAGTTTGGTGTACAACAACACCTACTCTGGGGGCTACCAAGCCAGGAAGGAAATCCACTAGACAATATCAACTCAAAGTTAAACTAATCCCAAGTTTACAACTTATTACTTAATCACTACCCTGTGCAACTTCTACACAGGTCTTCCTAGATATGAGAAATCCCACCTCACCTCCAATAACTGCAAATGATGTCTAACAGTCCTAATCCCAGTTACTGTTTCGACGACCTTTCACCTAAATTAAGATCACACTTCAAATACAAAAACAACTTAATCAAGATACCTCTTGATTAAGAACAACATACTTAATCTTGCTTCACAACTTTGATCAAGAACAATACTTAGGGTTGCTTAACAACTTCCTCCAAGAACAATACTACCTCTGGCTTAAAAGCTTCGAGGAGAATAATAACAGAGATTACAACTCTATAGCATAGTCTAACTCACAACCCGAGTGGATCACACAAACCAACTCTCCTAGAGAGTGGCACAGTGACAAAGCCCTAATGATTCTACATCATGAACCCATAATCTTCTAGGTTACAAACACTTCTATTTATAATATTTTTCCCAACTGGATTTGGGCTTTAAAAATGAAGCAAAGAGGCTGCACAAAGTCTGCAAAAACTTCTCCAAGAAAATAGGTCTTCAATCAAAACTTTTCTAAAATGTCTTCCATATTTAGAAACTTTGAATATCTTGAATACCAACATAAAATATCGGATTTATCAATCTTGGATGCCACATAAGCTAACTAAATATTCCATGAATATTCAGTAACTAACATATCAGCTGAAACACAACTATCAACAGCTGCAGACACGGTGTCCTATCCTCCTGGTTGGGACATCTTATTCGACATGTTGAAAACTACAAGTTGAAACTTCTTGTTCAACATGTTGCTGCCAAGTTAGTTTTACCAAAATGTATATCAATCATAATTATAAAGAAATAACAATAATAAATCAAAACAATAACATTAACATCATTTGATCATATGTTCCAATCAAGAAAATATAGGTTCATCATTGAATTCGACCTAACCTATTGGAAATCTAGCTACTCACATTGAATTAAAACAATACCAATAACTTAGATGAGAAGAGCATAAAAATTCAATGAAGAATGAGCTATTTGATGGCTCAATGGTCTTCAAACACTCTAAAATCATATAAAAATGTCACTTTTCAGTCTTGGAAGTTGAACCCTTTTTTCTTCTCTTTATTTCCCTTTTATAGTCACTGAAAACGTGTCAGGAAAGTAGTCCAACGTTGCCGCACCATTGATCAATGCAGCCGCATTGTCCAATAATCCTTTCAACGTGGGTGCGTAGATTTTCAACACGGGCGTGTTATCCTACAGTGTGGGCACGTTCTGGGCGTGTGAATTCCAAAGACTTCAACAATTTTTTTAATACTTTTTTCACCATTTCCACCATTTTTCACACCAAGTCTTTTTCTTCACCCTAAAGCACTTATTTAAGCTTTTTTTCACTTAAATGCTTCTATCTTGCACAATTCTTGTCAGAATTTGATGATTTTTCTTGCTAAATGACGTGCGTTACTAGCATGTCATCAATCCATAAAGTTTTTGTCACTCCCTCACCCCCTTAAAAACATTAAAATTAGATTCAAGAGAAGATATGATACACGAGGGTTCCTTGAAGAAACAAAGAAAGTAAACCAGAATGGAAGACATGACAATTTTTATAAGAACCAGACGACCCCCCATAGAGAGAAAGTGACTCTTCCACTATGACAACCTTCTTTTGATATAGTTAAGTTCAACTAGTGGATACCAAAAATGAAGCTTCCTAGAAAGAGGTAGACGGTCGTGCTTACAGTTCATAACACTTGTTGCCTCATGCAACCATGATTATGAGAAATTGACCCCAAATAACATGGTTTTATGAAAGTTAACTTTTAAACCTAAAATAGCTTTAAAAAGAATCAACGCCGCTCTTAAATCTCTAGCATTAGCCAGTAATCCCCACCAATAACATATCATCATCAAATTGTAAATGAGAAACATTAACCTCATTTTGCACCCCATCTTATACCATGTATACAATTCTTTTTTCCACTAAATCATTCATCAAAACATGTAACCCTTTAGCTGCTATCAGAAAAAGAAAAACGGAAAGTAGATCACCTTGACGAAGACCTCTTTCCAACTTAAACTCATCAGTTGGGCTCCTGTTCATAAGCATATAAGCAGTTGTTGTAGTAACATATTCTAAGATCCATTTTTGCCACAGAGTTGTAAACTTTATTTTACACATAACTTCATCCAAATACCGTCAGTCCACTAAATCATAGGCTTTTTTACAAAATCAACCTTGAATAATAATAATTCTTTTTTTGAAACCCGCGTATCATCCACCATTTCATTAGCTATAATGATGTCGTCCAAAATTTTCCTATTTTTAACAAAAGTTATCTAAGACTCAGAAATAACACTTCCAATCACATGTCTCAACCTATTGGTAAGAACCTTAGATAGAATTTCATACAGACAATTGAACAAAGAAATAGTTCGAAAATTCGACAACTGCCGAGGATTTTCAACTTTTAGAATCAAAGCAATAAAAGTATTATTTATGCCTCTGGTCAACTTTCCATTATGGGAAAGTCAATAAAAACGCGCATTAACTCATCTTTTACGACATCCCAAAAATCTTTTATAAAACCAAGATTAATTTCATCTAGAATGGGGCTCTTAAAACTATCACAATCTCAAAATGTCCGCTTAATCTCAACCTCTAAAAAGGATAACATCAATACTGACCCCTCCTCCATAGAGATTTATTTAAAAGAAAGATCTTTTATCCCTAGCAAATCAACTACTAACGACTGAAAATGATCAAAAATATCACTCTTCACTCGATTGACACCCTCCACCTGAACCCCATTACCTAAAATTGAGATGATGACACTCGACCTTCTCCTCGATGACATGATACCTTCAAAGAATTTTGAGTTTACATCTCCCACTTTTAGCCAGAGTAATCTAGATTTTTGCCACTGAATACTTGAATATAATTTGGATAAAGAAAAGATTCCTGCCGGAAAAAAATGTAACTCACCCAACTCCTCATCCTCTAAATCAACCTCATCTCCTTTAACTTCCAAGATATAAATACAATATTTTACCACTTTGATCCCGCCTTCTAGATTTTGAAAGTGGTTTTGATGCCATAAATGCAAATTACCATTTATCAGCTTCAGTTTTTCTTGCAACACAAAACTTCCTCAACCATCCACCTGAAATGATAACCATTGCTTCTCATCAAACTCCTTGTAACCTGGTAAATCCGCCAAACATTTTAACATTCGGGTTAGCCTAGGACCCCGATTCTCTTCGTCAATAGTCATCATGATTAGACAATGATCATAAATAGAGTGAGAAAGAGCCACCTGAATACAATTTATCCAAAAAGAAACTCGAACATCCGATAATAAAAAACGATCAAGACAACTCATAGAAAGACCATTCTCTGATACCACGTGAATCTTCTCTCACACAATGATAAATCAACAAGAAAATTTACATTAATGAACAGATTAAAATGAGTATAATCCTCTAATCGGTCAACAATTATTCTACTCCCTCTTTTCTCAATCGGTCAAATAACATTAAAACCATAAAATTTTCTTTTGTTGTTTACAATAAAATATTATATTATATTTTATTTTATCTTTATTTATGTATAGTTGGACAACATCCTACTTAAAAAAATAATTAATTTTTTAATAAAATAATTTAAATTTCACAAACAAAAAATGTCATTCGAATTTTTAGTTAAAAAAAATTAAACAAAAATCACCTATTCATAAAAAGTAAAAAAAAATAACTCCAATTCAAAATATTGAAAAATTAAAATTATTTCAACATTATAAAATTTATTTTATAAAAATTACAATTACATTACTAATATATATTTGATTAAATAAAATTTATAATTAAAAATAATAATAATATTTAAAAATTCTAGAATCCATAAATACAATTGATTAAAATATTTATTAAAATTTCATCTCAATAAATATAATTTAATGAATAGTCTTATATCCTAAAATACGTTAAGAATATTATAATTAAAAAGTTTGAATGAAATAAAGTTATATTTAAAATTACAAAATATTAAATTAAATAGACATATTCTAATAGAATATTTATATAAAAAATGATTATTAATAAGAAAATATAAAAGTAAAAAATATAAGAATTAAAACTCAATTATTTATTATTATTACTACTCCATAATTTTTATTTAAAAAATTAAATTTAAAATAAATTTAAAAATATCCTCTAAAATAATAATAAATATATATTCTTGACTTTCTTATTCAAATAATTTTTACTATATAATATTACTCTTATATAAATAATTTATTAATTTATATCATTAGCCTTCGATAAAATCACAATCCAATGAAATCAAACAAGAAAATCATAATTCAAACAAAATAATTTTTGAAAAATTTAAATATATAAACAGAAAAACAATTTTTTAAGGTAAAAATTAGGAATCTAAAATGTTACGAGAATCTTGTACCCACCATCATTCTGTTGTTGACTCATCCTGTTCTCATCTCATGCGGCAGAATCTGTGGGCCCTTGAATCCAAATATAAATAACATCCCTAATCAAAGCGTTTCTCTGGTCCCTCTTTCCTTCTTTTGAGGCTAGAGAGAGAAAAAGCAACGCAAAAAAAGAGAAGAGAGAGAGAGAAAGAGTGAAAGTGTTACACTGGTGTTGTACTTTGGACAATGCTACTCTACTAAACAAAACACTAAAACCACACTTAAGGTTTTTCCTAACTCTTCCTTAATTCTCTCATATTTTGCTTCTCTCGTATCGTCACAACTCACAAGTTCCATTCTTTTCAATTTTCATTCACCATTCTTACGCATAACCCTTTTTTTCAATACTCGATTTTTCTCTACCGTTTTGCAGATTCCTTTTCATTTGGGATTCGTTTTTCAAAAGGGTTTGTGTCCTTTCTTATTATCATCTCAAATTCTTGTTAAAGTTTCCACCTTTTGTTTTGTTCTGTTTCTGAGTTGTGAGCTTCACTTGGTTCTGTATAGGTGTTGTGGCTTCAAAGGCGGGAGCTTTTTGTCTTTTGAGAAAATGGGGTTTTCGAATTCGGAGTTGCATGTGCGAATTTTTGTTACCTCCATGATCGTGATTCTAATGGGAACCTTTTCTGTTGCAGAGACTGACCCTGTTGATGGTATTGCACATGCTTCTCGTTCTTTGTTTTGTTCAAAATTTTGATGTATTGTGTTTTTCCTTTGAGAGAGTACTAGTATATGGCTAATTTCAGTGTCTGAAATTGTTTAAATTTTATGCATGTTCTAGTTTATGGCTAATATGTCTTATTTTTAATAGGCAAATGTTATATTATAGTATTTTTCGCTTCTCTCGGGTTTAAACCCCGAATTCTATGACTCCTTTAACTGATAGCTCAAATCAGCTAATTTGTGTAATGGTCACATTACAGTTGCAGCAATCAATAGTCTATATGTCGCGATGGAGTCACCAGCTCTTTCAGGGTGGAAGCCTGAGGGAGGGGATCCATGTTTAGAAGCTTGGCTAGGTGTGGAATGTGTCTTCTCCAACATAACTTCCCTGTATAGTCATTCCCCTTTCTTGAATTTTAATTTGTTAGTACATTGTGTTATTGTTTTCGTAATTGGTTTCAAACGGTAATGATACGATTATGATGATAAGACTTATTTGGGTTGACAGACGACTGGGAGGCTTGAATTTGGGTGGAGAGCTCGGCAGTAATTTGGATTTCCCATCAATTATGGAAATGTAAGTGTCAATGTTCAAGATTATAGTCAGATGTGGTTTAAAAATGTGTTGATCTGCCATATTGCACTTGTTTCCTTAGTAATAACCATTGAAATAATGAAGCTCCTATGAAGTACTGACGCAGATACCTCGACACTGATAATAATTTGAATGTAACTACATATGTCAGTGTCGTGCTGGTGTCGAACATTAACATGTATTCAACACAGTACACGCTTTCAATCTGAAGTGTCAGTGCTACATAGATATGCTCTTATTTGCCCAAAGTCATTGCTAATTGTAATGCTACTAGAAAGTAGAACTCTCACGGTGCTTTCTTAATTACATTGCACAGTGATCTTAGCAACAACCACATTGGAGGTGCCATTCCATTCACTTTACCGCCTACTCTTACGAGCTTGTATGTCATCTTTATAATCTCTAATTCATGATTTTTCTACTTGTATTTAGTAAAACGTTTGTTGCCAGATTCATATGTGTTGAATAACCTTTTTCTTTTCTTTCCCTCCTTTTAACATGTAGGTCTCTCGCAAGAAACCGCTTAAATGGAAGCATTCCTGATGCCTTATCCTTATTATCTCAATTGGCAAGCTTGTGAGTGAAAAATATCCCCGCATCTTGTAACACCATATTGATATTTCTCATGTCTTGGCATATCCACTATTTATGAAACTCTATTGTGCTATGATGCAGGGATTTGGCCGATAACAACTTGACCGGCCAGCTGCCTTCCTCAATGGGGAGTTTATCATCTCTTACATCAATGTAAAAAATTTTCTTGCTAAGAATAGATTCCGTTTTCCTACTTTTTCTACGAGGATTTGTTATTATTTATTTAATTAATTTTCATTTGCAGACGGTTGCAGAACAATCAACTCGGAGGAACCCTTTTAGTTTTGCAGGACCTTCCTCTTCAGGAACTGTACAATTCTTACTATCCAAATAATTCTTACAAATATGTATTTAAATATTATCTATATCCTTCAACAATGCGTAGGAAGTAGAAAATATATATTGTGATTAAATTCGTGAGTTTATCATTATGTAGGAATATAGAGAATAATTTATTCTCTGGTCCAATTCCTCCGAACATATCTAACATCCCTAATTTGAAGTAAGTCCTGGTTTCAACGGAATTCTTTCATTACGTCGTTTCCAAATCTTTTATCATTCGAGTTAACATAGTAGCATATTCCTTGCAGAAAAGACGGGAATCCATTTAATACTACTATTATTCCGACGCTGCCTGCTTTAGCCCCCTCACCTGTAGTTACCGGTCTATCTCCCGAAGAATCACCTTGGCATGTGGTTTATAGTCCTTCTGACTTCCCATCACCGGCGCCTGGAAATGTTAAGAAGTCTTTCCTAGCTAAGCATGGCTTTTGGATTGCCGGTGCCGGAATATTAATATTTATCGCGTTGGGGATTTGTGTTTGTACGGCGTGGTGCTGTAAGAGAAAGCTGAAAGATAAAAACTCTCAGAAGCTTGATGTGGAGGCTTTTCCAAATACTTTGCATAAACCTACTCACAACGACTTTGTTATCCAAGCAACTAATCAAGATCAACAAGGTGATTTTAATTCATCTATCTGAGATTTTGTCTTAAAATATCCGTTCTATAGTATCTTGTCGAACTTTATTTTTTATTCCAAATGATGCAGCTGAGAAAACATCACGGTTCAATGAAGTTCCGAATAGGAGAACGAATTCGGTTCCAAAGGTTCAGGATGAACAAGATCGATATGTCAACACTGTATCTGCAACTTCGGAATACAATAATGTCTCCAAACCTTCGCTCCTGCAGCCACCGCCACATCCTCTGCCGATAGTTCCCATTGAGAAGGTCACCGTCAATTCCGCAGTAACTACCAATGCTAGTGAGCGAAAAATTATAACAAGTTCCGTCGAAATGTATACTGTTGCATCACTTCAACAATATACAAATAGTTTTTCCCAAGAAAATCTTATTGGTGAAGGCACTCTCGGATCTGTTTATAGAGCCGAGCTCCCTGATGGAAAGGTATTATTCGTCCGATTAATAAGCAATATAACGCTTTATGTCATTTCCCGGCTTTACATGCTTATTATATCTTTTGAATTATTTCTCTAGCTATTGGCGGTGAAGAAACTGGATACTAGAGCTTTCAAGGACCAGACCGACGAACAGTTTCTTCAATTGGTATCTAGCATCTCAAAAATCCAGCATGTCAATATTGCAAAGCTTGTGGGCTACTGTGCTGAGTATAACCAACAATTACTTATATACGAGTATTGCAATAACGGAACCCTACAAGATGCACTTCACGGTGATGACGAACATTGTATTAAATTTCCATGGAATGAACGCATTAAGGTCGCACTTGGTGCTGCAAGGGCTTTAGAGTGAGTTTAGTGATCAACTCAATATCTAATTCCATTTTATATTAACAAAGATCGATTTTTTATTTTATCTTTCCCCATGGATCAGGTATCTGCACGAGAATTTCCAGCCGCCCATTGTACATCGAAATTTTAGGTCTGCTAATGTTCTCTTGAATGAAAAGTCGGAAGTGTGTGTCTCTGATTGTGGATTAGGTCATTTGCTATCTTCCGGCGCTGTTGGCCAGGTATCTCTTTAAGCCTCGAATTGTTTCATATGTTCTTGTTGTGTTATTGAATGTTACAAAATAAATGGCAGAAAAATATGATACTCGAATGGAAATATGAAGGCATGATTACATATTATTTTCGATTGTTCCGTTTTTGTTACTTTTCTGACTAACATTACATCGATTTCAGTTATCTGGTCGCCTCCTCACAGCTTACGGTTACAGTGCTCCAGAATTTGAGTCTGGAAGTTATACACAGCAAAGTGACGTGTTTAGTTTCGGGGTTGTAATGCTAGAACTTCTCACGGGAAGAAAATCGCACGACAGGTGATTAATCTCATTTTGCAAATTTGTTTGTTTTTCTTTGCTTTTACAGTTCAGTTTGAAGCAAAGCCATATTTTGCTAAAATAATGTACATATTTTACAGGTCACGGCCTCGCGGAGAGCAATTTTTGGTGAGATGGGCAGTACCACAACTACATGACATTGATGCATTGTCGAAAATGGTTGACCCTCACTTAAATGGATCATATTCTATGAAGTCATTGTCACGTTTTGCAGATATTGTTTCGTCGTGTATTCAGGTAATCTAATTGTACAACTAGGATCGACATGAATTGTTGAACCACTACGTAACATATTGGCTAAACTCGGAGACACACTTGTTGATGATTCCGTGTCACATAGTTTGCTAACATAGTGGTAACACCTTATTGATTATCAGTTATCGTCTACTCGCCTTTCATTCATTTTTATTTTTATTTTCAGCGTGAACCTGAATTCCGGCCAGCTATGTCTGAAATTGTTCAGGATCTCTTGCTAACGATGTAGAAGGACGGATACGGATACAATGAACTACTTTTCTGGACTTAACCTATCTTTTTTTCATTAATTTGGCGCGAGATCTTGATTTATTATGCTAACAAATGTAATTAGTAGGAGGAATGATGTGAGTTAGTTTTTTGCATCATTGTTCATTATTGACGCTAGTTTGTCAAAGATGGCATGGCTCGGTTCATGATGATTTGAGCATGCCATTCATCTTTTGTACAATTGATAGTGTGTGTTTGGAAAACTTAGAAATCATGGTGGAAAATCTCAGGTGGGACAAAAGCTACACATACCAGCTTCTCAAAATCACAGTGAAAAAAAACCTTAAACTTGTGATAAATGTAACAATGCTATACTTTTGTGTATTTAGGTGTATTGTTTTATATTTGAGGAAAAAACTGAAGCACTTAAAAAAGGCACGTCCTTTACTCTTTCTTGTTTTGGATTTTTGTGCTTTTATAATGATACATGGAGTGTGATTGTTAAAAAGGCAATACTTTTAGATTTTGGTTACTATTATATTTCCACACTTCTAATCATAAAGCTGCTATGGTGTTTAGATTTGATTTTATAGCTTTAATTTTGTATATGAAACAATGAAAACAAATGAGATACAAAGAATTTTTGAAGGAAATTTTTGATAGAAGCATCAAAACTTTTAGTAGAGAGAAAATTCAGTGCACCTTTGAGAAATTTTGGATTGTGTAAATTTTCTTGGTAATGTATTTGAAATTTCTGGTATTCTGTAAATTTCAAATTTACTAGTGAGTACCAGAAATTTCAAATATATTAAAATTTCTGATAGTTCATGAATTCAAG